ACAGATCTTAGCTTATTTTGAAACATTTTTTGGAGCATTGTTTTGTTTGAGTTTTGTTATTAAACAGTAAAAGTTTTGACATTGTCGTTTATGTTAAGATTTTAATATTCTCTATGACTATAATACAAATACCTTTCTTAAATTTACTTGCTCAATATAAATTTCATTCCATATTTACTATAGTAATTAAAGTTAATATACTGTTAATTAAAGTGACCCGTGTTTAATACAATATAACATACATAAGTATTTTAATTAAAGGACAAAGTCACGCAGGGCAAGGGACCTATACACTACACTGTAATTTAAACACGATACGTCTATACCGATATCTTATTGAAGATAACTGACCGAGTAACATACTTTGATCAGTAGAGGGGTGTTCCATTTAGACCAAATGGAGAAAGCCGTCATTAGGTACCTCTGTAAGAAAAGGATGTCCGACAAGGTAATCCATGAAGTCTTCGTTGAAACACTTGGCAAGGAGTCCCCTTCAAATAGCACTGTGAAAAATTGGGCTGCTGAATTCACGAGCGGCAGGGAGATTTTTGGAGATGATGAGCCGCCTGGGCGTCCAATAGAGGCCACCAACGATGAAACTGCTGTAGCTGTGCACGATCTGGTCATGTGCGACAGAAGGCAAGACCTGCAAAACATTGCTAGGGTAGTGGGTATAAGCTTTGGTTCAGTTCAGGCAATTTTTGACTGATGTGTATGGCATGTCAAAGGTTGACTGACGACTTGAAACGGACCTGACTTGACATTTCAAGGTATCTTTTGTTTCGCTACAGGATGAACCTAATTATGTCTACCGGATCGTAACTCAGAATGAAACAAGTGACCATCACTTCGATCAAGAATTTAAAAAGAAACAGCATGCAGTGGAAGCACCCCGGCTCACCACGTCCGAAGAAATTCAAGAGGGTGCCATCAGCAGGGTAAATGATGCCTTCAATTTTTGAGACAGTCAGGGGATAATCATGATTGGCTATCTTGAGCAAGGTCGTACCATAAAAGGTACGTACTATGCAGACGAATTGAGACGTCTGCAACAAGAAATCGCGTGTAAAAGGAGGGACAAACTGTCTCAAGGCACAACAATGCGCCAGCTCACACATCGCAATTTGCGATGGCTGCTGCGGCTTTGAAATTCTTCTACATCCTCCATATTCTCCGGATTTTGCCCCCTCTTACTTCAACCTGTTTCCGAAACTGAAAACCAAGCTTCGTAGTAGACGTTTTGGAAGCAATGAAGGTGTCATTGAGGCGGTCAATGACTTCTTTGAGGACCAAAATAGAGAGTTCTATTTTGAAGGGTTAAACAAGTTGGAGCACAGGTGGCCAAAGTGCATTGATGTCGAGGGCGATTAAATTGAAAAATACGACAATTAGTGGGGTTCTCTGACTACCGGAAGTACATCCGATCAATCCTGGTATATACGGAATATTAACAAAATTTAATGAAATTTCTAGAGTACGTGAAATCAAAATGAGACGGTCGTGAGCATACTCATTTGTAATATCGCCGTTGTTTGAACAATTTCTCTTGCTGCTGAAACGAAGTGTGAAACAATCTCTTTAAAGAAGCGGGCATCACCATACAACTATATAAAACACTAGCATTAACTATTATCCATCTTGTACGTTCATTTTGAGCAGTAACACTTCTTAGGTCATCACAGATTTAATAAATCCATAGCGTATCCCGATTCTCAAATGGTATGAACATCACCCGGAAGAACAAATAACTTCAGGAAAATAATATATCTAAACGACTAAACATAATGTTTACTTAATCGCAATTTCAATAGAGCCAGTCGTTGACCACTATTGTTTAATGGTGGAGAAACGAATTGGGAATATTGAAAAAAAAACACAACAAAACAGCTGATAATATGGCACAAAACTCGATCATTATGTAAAGCAGATATTTACTGAATGGGCGTTTTTGAGCCTATAACGGTATATTGTGAGACAGTTCGTAGCGGAAGAAAATAATTATGACTGGCAAAGAGTCTTTCAAAATACAGGAATATATAGACAAAATAAACATCTAAAATATCTGACAAATAAATGTAGGAAACACTTTTCTCAGACGGATACTTCATATATTGACCGATGACAAACAAATGTACAAGTACAAACCGCTAAGCAATTGCTCCTAATTTTTCCTAATTCATTCAAAGATAATTTGAAAACATTGTTACTAATGACATAATTTTGAACCATAAACAAAATTTGAACATGGCTAAACAAACACTATAGATGGCCCGCAATTGCTCAAGGATGAGCACACTGATTTTTAATTGCACATACTTCTTCATTAATTGTATAGCCGTACGAGTTCCGTACCGAAGAGCAAAGTGTTACAGGATGGCATCACCGAGAAATTCGGAAAACATTTGATGGTATCTTTTATATTCTCAAGTTCGCTTGCGGTGAGCTCGAAATTGCTGTCACGTTTGGCGTATTTTTCGGTATATGTGCTTCCGTGCAACTATATGTTATACCAATGTATTGTAACTGTTTTTACATGCAAAAACATAAAATAAATAACACAAAAGAATGCAAAAATTGTGGGTCGACATTCTGAATTGGTGACCGTCGGCGTCACATGCTTTTAACACCTGATCGTGAAAAAGGCAAATAAGGTTAACTGATACAAAATTAGAGGTGTTGTTACCGATTTGTTTGTTATGATAATAATGATTTTTGTAGAAGCGGTACAAAGAAAATAAGTGAAATATACACAAGACAAAAATGATGTTTACCTGGTAAATATTCATGTACAATGCGTATTGTAACCGTGTTGTTTATTATCTATTTTCAGAATGATACTTGTTTATGTTAAATTTAGTAAATGACTACAAACAGATGCTGCTGTTAACCCATTACTGCATGACCATTTTGTGAAAAATGGCTGTTTTCATTGAAAATCCTACTATTGCTATGAAACTATAAAAAAGGCTTCAATACTGTTCAAACCTGGCGCACATGTTGACTGGACCATAGTTTTGGTAACGGCTTACTTAATCTTAATTTCCTGTTACCATTGCAACCAAGGTACATATCAAAATTGCCAAAAATCATTATTTTATGTTGATTTTTTTCATTAAAAAAAAAAGGCAGTTACGACTCAAAACCTTTAGTCCGTAATGATGTAGATGATCATATATTCAAATGTTTATTACTTTAATGTCGACAGATTCTAATGAATCTGTTTACAAATAAGCTCGATTGTTTTATTTGGCTTTCAGAGTCACTTACATTGAAGCACTAGGATCTAAAATTTGTCAAATCTAAATTGTCATTTTTTTCTTCTTGTAAAGTTTGTATGCACCGCTATACATGTATGTATTTAAAGGCTATAAATATGGTTTATATTCAGTGACAATAAAATATTCTTTTCTGTACTGTAAACTAATACCTTCGTATTTGACTCAATTTATAGATTTCACCAAAGATCCCATTGTCTCTTTGTTCGGGTGCTTTTTTCGTTTATAAATGAATGAATAGATAAACGTCTCAAATGATTGGACACATTTATGATTTATCATTGAAAGTATTCATTGTAAATGTAAAATAGCTATTCAAATCTTAAACCACTACACTATTATGGCATGTTATTCATAGTGCCAAGTAACCTAAAGCCTATTGAAAACCCATTCTCACGATAGTTATCAGTTACTATATTATGTTCTAAATGCGTCTTTAACGAGGGGACATATGTATGATACAATTAATTCTGTTATTTTAATTTATTGCATTTAAGATTTTCTTATATTCATTTTTAGAGAGAAGTAAACCCACAACTGCAGCTGTTAATACACTTCAAACTGTAACTTAAATTGTCTACATACATAAACCCTAACTTAAAAAGCTTCTTACTTTCCTTGTTGATATGCACTAGTCCTGTTACCGTAAAATGTTCCATAAAAATAGCATACCCCTTTAATAGGAAATGTTTACTAAGTTAATAATCTGAATAACTGCGGATATGTAATAAGTTCCATACTAGCTTTTTTTGTAACATATACATGTATATGTGTTTTCCAGTTTCATCAATTGTTAAGTTTAAAAAGGAAAATAAATACCAAATGGTTTAAGTAATGAAGGTACATATATATAAGCCCTTCTTATGATTGTCAATATGCATACTTTTTTTAGTTATTCCAAATAACAATTTAAAATGTAGACTGTAAGATAAATATGTGTCACGGTTCAGAACTGTTCACTATATAGGGGAGAAGATGTGTAAGCGACCGGATAGCTCAGTCGGCAGAGCCGCGGTACGGTATTCCGAGGGTCCCGGGTTCGAGTCCCGGTCAGGCTGCACATTTTTCTTACCCTGTGACATATGTAAACCCCGACGTTTATCTAAAGCATATAATCTATCTGAGCGGTATTTATTAGCAATCTAACATTAGTTTGGAGTTTTGAAAAAGACCGATCTTATTTCGATTTTAACAAGACAAAATAAGTAAGACCATTTCCGCACCTTAAAGAAGTAAGTGAAATTAAAATAAAAGCTAGTATCATAGATCTTTTGTAAATTATAATTAAAAAACCCTTAAATATCAGACTTGATTTTACAGACGTGTTTACATTCTTGCTGAATTAATGAATCTTCATCCTGACCTTTGAAATTCTAATAAGGTCATTATAACGACTTATTATGATTGAAATGGATACTAAAAGACGTCATTGCGCACATTTTGAATTGTCAAAGATCCTTCTGATAAATTAAAACAACTGATAAATATCAAAATATAAATCCTACCCCCCCCCCCCAGTGTCTGGGAGATGTCATTATAACATTATAGAAGAAAACATAATGAGGACGGAATTTTTATTATTGTTGCCTTTGTTTATCCTTTTCATTTGGGGAAAAAAGCAGTTAGTATTAATTGGCAGTTGATTGATTTTTTAGGTAAGGTGACAAAATCACGGATCATTTTGATTTAATGATCATGAATTTATTTATGTAATTACAGAAATGATGATCTGATAACAAACGAACAATGGCAACTGCCAGTCAAGTAACGTCTTTAAAGACACAGCAGAATCGTTGTCGTCTTTTTCGTCTGCAAATGCTGATTATAGACGGCGGACTACTTATTCTTAGGAATATTTTCAATCAAAAACTGCAAAATGTCCCTCTTGTCACATTTTTGAAGAATGAAAGACACACAATTACAAACTTAAGAACACGTGGAAAAATTACCCAGGTACAATATGATCTACTATTTCCATCAGGTGGCAGCAGTCCAGCTGCAACAGACCTAGACATCACGTTAATCATATGTCTCCTTAGAAACATCAAGTCATTCGGGCTGAACAAGAACTTTCAATGGAACTCAAGTCCTACACCAGGTGATACCTCAGTTGAAGCTGATATTTCCCGTCTGAAAATGTACAGGAACGAGGTAAATAAGAAATAAGATAATTAGTTATGTTTTAATGGTTTGAGTGCTTGTGATTATTACCTATAGTTGTGAACAAAAATAATCTATATGACGTCAAGTTTAAATTATTAGGTATACAAAGTATTTTTTACTGAAATAGCTTTTAGATTATAGAACTTTAAATCCTAAGAATGTTTATTTTTAATGCTGTTTAACTTAATGTTCCTACTAATTTAGTATTATTATGTCTCAGTTGCATGATGTCTTAACGTATGAAACGTCTTCATTAATTAAACTACGAAACATTTCCATTAGATGGTATATATCAAAGACTGGCTTTATAATATGGAAAGCCTTGACTATCTTATCATTATAAACCTAAACGTTGTTACGTCGATATAGCAATATATTGAGACAACCTTTCCTTATACAATGTGCACTCATTAATATATTATGTGGATCCATCTTTATATGTAGTCAACTGAACAATATATGATGTCAACGTGTATTTATATGACGTCAACCTATCATTATACGTTGTGCATTTTTGAATATATTATGTGGAGCCATCCTTATATATAGTCAAAATAACAATATATGATGTCAATCTGTCCTTATATGATGTCAGTTTGTCATTATATGATGTGAAGTTATGAATATATTATGTGGAATAATTCTTATATAGAGTCAACATTATATGATGTCAACGCGTCCTTATATGATGTCTTTCTATCATTATACGATGTGCATTTTTCAGTATATTATGTGAAACCATCCTTATATAGAGTGAACTTAACAATATATGATGTCAACACGTCCTTATATGATGTCAATCTTTCATTATACGATGTGCATTTTTCAATATATTATGTGAAACCATCCTTATATAGAGTTAACTTAACAATATATGATGTGAATAATTATGTCCTTATATGATGTCAGTCTTTCATTATAGGATGTGCAATTACGAATATATTATGTGGAACCATTCTTATATAGAGTCAAAACGACATTATATTATGAAGAACCGTCTTTATATAGAGTCAACTTAACATTATATGATGTCAACACGTCCTTATATGATGCCAATATTTCATTATACGATGTGCATTAATGAATATATTATGTGAAACCTTCTTTAGTGCTCGCCAATTTTTTTAAGCCAATCACCGACGAGGATTTTTCAAATTTTCAGGTTTCAAATCTTAATAGAACCGATTTTATATAAACTGGACGTTTTATATTATAAAACGCAAGTGGGCGGAGCTAAGTTTCGAAGAGCGCTAAAGTGAAATATACGCATGTGCAGAGATCTTGAAGTTTACTCCTACTAATCAATATTTATGCATCATGTTTTTTCCGTACACGCACATGTATATCGTCACTACGGCATAGAATTAAAAAAAGAGGTTCATTGAAATGAAAACAGGCAAAATAACAGTTAACATGTTTTATTACTTACGGAACCAGTATCATTTTATAATTTCCAATTAAAAAGTTCACTGATTCCAACAAAGTATGTATGTAATATTTCTTACTTTTTATGTAAATATTACAGACCGTGCCGCTGCAAAACCGAAAGTAGGGTGTTTTTATTAATTTTACATTTATTTTTGACAATATACTGCCATTTGTCCGAAGATGATATGTATATGAATATAATAAATATGTATGATGCATATATAATCAAGCTACAGGTTCATTTCAGCCCGAAAAATATGTCGAGGTGACGGGCGAGGCAAGACATGTCGACTTTTTGTAGCTTATTGTGAAGTTGCAGTACTTGAAAATCGGCCACATGACAAATCAGCACATAAATAAAACATTCTAGTGTTCCGTGGTATACATCTTTTCTACGTGTCATACCTCCTTTCCTTATCACAATGAATTTTTACTGCATTGTTATCCGTCGCTGGTTTGTTTTTAGCAGAGAATGACCTGTGTATGTTCAAAGAGGGTACCGTTTGAGAATATTTTGCAAAGAGGGTACCGATATGGATATGCACCGTGATATTGTCTGATTTACCTTGACAGAATGCGGGAATAAGCTATGCAAAACACGTGACCCGTAAATGTGTACCGCTACCTCTTCCAAATATGGTTATACACATTTGTAGGCTATCGTGTGACGTCACGCAGTGTGTTGGGCGGAAAAAAATGGGCGGAGCACTAAGCCGGTTAGAGTGCATATTGGATGTTCTTCGTAAATAAGAAAGCTACAGTCGCTTCGCAAGCTCCGCTCCTTTTTAGCTTTCTTATTTACGAAGAACACCTAATATGCACTCTAACCTATACTTATATAGAGTCAGATGTCCACACGTCCTTATATGATGTCAGTCTTTCATTATATGATGTGCAATTACGAGTATATTATGTGGAACCATTCTTATATAGAGTCAAAACAACACTATAGTATGTAGAATTGTCTTTATATAGATTCAGCTTAACACTATATGATATAATTTACTTCGAGTTTTCCCACTGTTGACACGAACGGTGCATATTGAGATATTACCCGGTAAATTTAACACCATCAGTATAATGACAGAAGCACACCATATAATGATGTTTGCACTTCATATAAAGCAGCGGTCGTATAATAACAGATGCACATCGTATAATGAAAGAATGACATAATATATTGATAAGTTGACTGTATATAATGATGCAACCACATAATATATTCATAAATGCACATCGTATAATAATAGATGCACATCGTATAATGAAAGATTGACATAATATATTGATGAGCTGACTGTATATAATGATTCTACCACATCATATATTCATAAATGCACATCGTATAATGATTGGTCGACATCATATAAAGACACATTGGTCAACATCATATATTGTTCAGTTGAATTCATATAAGGATGCATCTACATAATATATTCATGAGTGCACATTGTATAAAGAAAGAGTGGCACAACAACGTTCATTTTTACAAGGTTAGCTTTTAAAAAAGCTAGTAGCGACTCGCTTCGTAATTTTTTCCAGAGGTGCGTTTAAATGTAAAAATGATAGTTCTGTTAGCTGAAGAGACTTCAGCGAACATCAAAATAAAAGTGAAATAAAGTTATGGAAGCCAGTTCTCTAAGTTTAACAAAGAGGAATATGAGTATATATGAAGATGCATGTAAACAGATAGAATGAAGTCCCTATGTCTATGCACATTTACTGCATGGCCTGTTGATCTTGACCAAATAAATCTTAGATAGGTAGAATTCATAAAGATGTCTCTTTATACGAAGTAAAGTTGTAAAATGTTATTTAGTATTGGAATGAGTGACAGACACAAGTCCTAAAGTAAACACAAGTTGTCAGAAAAGCCGGGATCCTATTAAAAAAAATATAGGGATCCCGGATTTTGACCAGTCTAAGATGTTTTTCAGATAAGCCGGGATCCTATTAAAACATATAGGGCTCCTGGGAATTGACCAGTTCAAGAATATAGTTTTCAGAAAAGCCGGGATCGTATTAAAATATAAAGAGATCCCAGGAATTGGCCAGTTCAAGAATATAGTTTTCAGAAAAGCTGGGATCGCATTAAAACATAAAGGGATCCCGGGATTTGACCAATTCAAGAATGTAGTCTTTGATTTTTCCAATTAATTAGACAAATAATTATAAGTATTTGGATTTCCGCATTTTAAGTTTGTTAATAGATACCTCTAAATATATTTATATCCTAAGTTTGATTAATTTAACGTTCATTATATACAATAAAAAAACTTAACGTTTAATGTCCTTTCATTACGACAATAATCAATACAAATATAGTTTATTAGATTTTCCTCTATATCTTATACGATCCCGGATCCCGGCCAGTCCGGGCCTCCCGGACCCCGGCCAATAAATATATACACTAAATACCGATAAAGGATAAAATGACCGGAAAAAAGGAAAAAGAAAAAAATGCACAGAACCAGATGTACATTTATGTTAATTAACCAAACGAAAACTTACTACAGAGGAACAGGTGAGATCGCTAAAACAAAAGTCAGTGTAAATATGATTTTTTGAAAAGAAATCATGAAAACAAACATTTTAATCATCATTATATCTTTGCGCTCAAAATAATACTTGCTGCTTTTTAAAAATGGCGTGAAAATTGAAGGTTTTTTGACGCTATGTAAGATTAAATTTGATTGGCTAAATAATTTTGGATCCTAGCCCTGATAAATAAATTTTGTATGAAGCTGGAAGCCAAGCTTCGATTAAATTTTTGGATGGATTCGGAGTTTTAGGTTGTTTTTCAGTAAAATCCTAACGTAATACCGGCTCGCCGTTGCGAGCCGGCATAATCATAAGACAGTCAAGGCTTTCCATATTATAATATGAGATTTAGCCAATGGTGTTGCATGCTTACATAACATTATATTTATATTTTTTGTCTTCCTCGCATGTATTCATTTGATATCAATATATTTAATATTATCTTACCTTTTAATTAGCTCAGTCACATATCTTCAACAAGTGGAATAACGTTGCCTGTCTTCGCAACAAAGTGGACGGAGATCGAACAGGTAAGACTGGTACTTTATCTAACTAATATATCTATCTTTTTAGTTTCGTTCAGTCTTCAACCAAACCGTCTTGCTTGCCTGTAAATTAATTAGAATTCTTCACGACATAACTGTCTGAACTTTATGGAATGTAACTATTTGGCTGAAGACTGAATCGGCCCTTATGCAAATACAGGCACATGATGATTTCTCGCAAGACACATTTATATTTTCTTTTTATAAATATCGTGTTTTCTAGTACATTTTAGAAGTCATTTGAACTTATCAATAAATTTAAAAAAATAATTTGAGGGCAAAATACATATACAATTTTATATAAGACAATCATTGTACGACAAACTAATTGTTATATTTTTCTGGTCATTTGAGAATTGGCAACCGCTCAGGCAGCTGGTGCTAGGGGGCATAGGGATGTTGCACTTCTTCATTATTCCTCATGTACGAACTCAATCTATTTTCATGTAGATTTCTAATTTTGCTATGTTTAAAGCTTCCAAGCAGCAATCATTTTTCCCCAGATGTTTTTTATAGATGTAAATATTTTGCTATCGCTTTTTTTGCAATGACATTTTGTATGGGTCTAGTATTGTTATAACTGAACTTAATTCATAACGGGAAAATGACGTCTACTTAAGAACGCCATTAATTTATAAAAAGCGCGCGTGAATGACGTCACTTAAATCACGCGACTTGTCTCACACAGGGGGAAGTAAGAAAGGATTTCTAGCAGAGGTGTAAACAGTAAATAATTCTGTATGGTAAGATACAAGCAGAACAGAATATAACATTTGAGCCGCGTCATGACAAAACCAACATAGTGCGTTTGCGACCAGCATGGATCCAGACTAGCCTGTGCATCCACGCAGTCTGATCAGGACCCATGCTGTTCGCTTACCAACTCTATTACAAGTAGAGACAGCATGGATGCCCAGGCTGGTCTGGATCCATGCTGGTCGCAAACCCACTATGTTGGTTTTGTCGTGACGCGGCTCATTTATAATCATGTGTATTAGCACGATGATCAATGTTCAAGTGTCCAGTGCGTTCATATACAATGGTCATTTTGTTTAGTTTTCAATAAATATGTTTTGGTGTGAGATTAATAATGGAATCGTGATGAATTTGATGGCATCCATCATGTCCTTTTCCAGGTTCTTTTGAGGTTAAACTTGGCAGTGACTCCCATACCAAACCTACAAAAGATGATTGATGACTTTAAAGTGAATCCCCTTGATCCCGAAGCAGAAAGAAGGGTACAGAAGGCCATAGACAGTTGGCAAATGTTAGAAAAGGGAGTAGAAGCAGATTTAAAACTGATAAAAGAGAAAACCAAGGATATAGAATTTTCTGTCAAATTGCAAACTGTAACCGTGAAGGAGTTAAACAAGAAGACCAGTGAAAATGCTAAACAAATACAGGAATTAAAGTTAAAGGAAAAAAGTAGAAAATGTACGTCCTTGACGCTTTTTAACATTAACCATATTTTAGTTTTGATTTTATTGAAAGATCTTTTCGTCTGATAAGTGCTTAATTATCTTAACCGAACACTACAAAAATGTACATTCGCGATATTTTATACTAATCATTATCAAAAGTTACAGTATCGCTTCTCTTTATCACTATAATTTACAACACTTTTCTTCTATTTTATCATTACAATTTAAGCATATGCCTTTCACTTTTGATTTTCATTATTTGTTATCATTCGAAATTGTATTTGATAATCAACATGTCATACTGCAGGTGTCACAGCAGAGACAGACTCAATGAGACAGTCTCAATATAAAGAGTCGAAAAAAAGTAAGTTATAGCTCTTTATGTAATAATAACATATTTAAAAGATGTGTGGTATATAATTAATGTCAATCTGTAAAATTTAACACAATGTTGGTTCAGAACACTTTTTATGCTGTGTTTAAGATTATGATTTATGCATGTACTGTGTATATAGAAAGAATATATTCAAGGTAAATATAAATGAACATATATTTGAAAAGGTTTTTATAAAACCTAGTACATATTCTGTCTTTTATTACTGAAATACATAAGTCTGCGTTTATATCTTCTTTACTTGACTTTTAAACCCCATCCGGCTTATATAAAATTATTAGATTGCATTAAAATGCATGAAACATATACATATTTATGATTATACTTATGAGACGTTCCCGCCCTTTTTGTATATCTTTATAGTTATAAGATCGTCATGCATGATGCATGCTAAAGAAGTATTTTGCATCCTATATAGCGAAAACACTTGACACTTACACAAATGTTATTTCACAGACGTTTTATATTTTCAATAAGTGTAAAATACGCACAATAAGTTTGTTTTCCAATTTCTGTGCAAACTGGTAAATCTGTGTATACAAATAATAAGAAATGTCTCAAAATGTATCAGAACATTTCACTTTAATTTTATATTTAACTTAGGAAAAATTTACGTCACTTCCGGTTTGAGGTCACCTCGTGACTCTTACATATATGTGATACCAGACTAAGTGTTATAATATTACACCCTCTTGTTTTGTTTACATCTGAAGTAACGTGGTAGATTTACATTCAATCCGTATGAATTTACTCCGTATTTTACTTGTTATGATAAACAATAATTTTTATCACTTTGTATTCCTAAACACGCAATTAAGTTTATTTGGGTGACATATAATATGACGAATTACAATGCATACTCTTTTTGAATCATTGGATGTCCTGTTTCAGTGACAGACAAGTTTTAGTGATCTTTTAGAGAAAAAAAGAAATTACAAAATAATAATCATGGTGGGCCTGATGTGTAACAGCATAGGATTTTCCCTGAAAACCCTTCTTTTAAAATGTTTTCTTTATTAATGTTTAAGTATCAGCTCCTTATTATTGTTTTAACATAGCAGATATGATTAAGTTCTCTTAAGAAAAGTAACGTTTTTATTTTTCTCTTTTAATGACTGTCTCTGTGTGTCTGTATGTATCAATTAAGCTATATTAGACAAAAATCGGAAGATATATAAGAAGTGATTATCTTGCAACTGAAGTCTCTTTTGAAATAGGTTTCTTGTATTGAAATAGTTATTTAAAGCAACATGCCTCCAGATGAATGCAAGCTTGTTTTCATAGATTTTTGAAAATATGTATTTTAATTCCAAGCAGAACTATGCTATGGCAACCGAAAGAAAAAGTTAAAATATCTTCTTTTAGATAACAGTAAGTAAGAGCTAGAGCTTTAATATTTGACATGAAACAGGAACTAGTCATTCTCTACCAGGTTTGTTCAAATGAATGCCCTGGGGTCAAAATTGGCCCAGCCGGGGGAGGGGGGGGGGGTCATTGATTTTCCTTATATGTATGTAGTGAAAACTTAAAAAATCTTCTTTTAAAAATCCAAAATAGCTAGAGCTTAGCTATTAAGCATGAAACATCTTCTAGTGGGTGTCTACCAAGTTTGTTCAAATAAAAGCCTTGGGGTCAATATTGGCCCGCCCCAGAGGGGTCATTGTTTTTCCCTTGATGTATATAGTAAAAACGTATTTTTAAAAAAAAACCTTTAGAGCTTGAGCTAGGATATTTAGCATGAAACATCTTCTAATGGGTGTCTACCATTTTTTTTTCAAAAAAAGGGCCCTGGGGTTAAAATTGGCCCCGCCCCTGGGATCATTGATTTTCCTTTTATGTATATAGTAAAAACTTAAAAAAGCTTCTGTTAAAAAACCGAAATGCCTAGAGTTTAGATATTAAGCATGAATTATCTTCTAGTGAGTGTCTACCAAGTTTGTTTAGACAATAGCCCTGGGGTCAAAATTGGTCCAGCCGGAAGGGGGGGAGGTTCATTGATGTTCCTTATTTGTATATAGTAATTAAGCGTGCGATACAGAAGAACTGCAACACTCCCCTTTTATAAGTTTTAGAGTTATTGCCCTTTGTTCATTTTTACACTTTGAATTTAGTCCATGACAGAACTTAAGAACTATAAAATGCACAGTTCCTGTTAATTTTCATACTTTCCATGATTGTTTTCTTAATCATGCTCTGTATGTATTGTTATAATTGCTTCTCCTCTCATTTGTCTCATTTGATGTCATGAGTTTTCGGTAGATTGTCATCGATTCACAAAGTTCCAGATAGCTGAAAAAAATCATATACCCTTTGTGCAAAAATTGTAACTAATAAGCATGTTTTCTGACAAGCATGTGTCGGGTGTATTCGGCACTTGTGTGTTATTATATATTTTTTATATTTTGACAGTTAGTAACTAATTGTTTGCACAAAAAAAGAGAATTAGAATAATTTAATTATATATTTTTTTTTCAAATGTAACTCATTTTCTAACATTTTCTAAATAATTGTTGCTGTTGTATTTTGAATGTACATTTGTAGTTATTTCTATAGCAAACTGTCAACAGTTAATTTATTAATGTTCACAGTCTCATTGACTGTTTATCTCTGAAACATAAATCATCCATAACAAAGTAAAATTGTGAACATTATTGTGATGTTACTATACCGTATAGTTATGTTTTAGCGTTCCCGGAGAATAGTTACTATTTCGGGGTAGTTATAACCTTTAAAGAATATTTTCCGCTAGGATATGTTATGTCAAATCAGCAAACAAATAAGTAAAAAAGGAAACACAAAGAAACCGAACATAAGCATATTATCATTTTCAAACACCTATATCTAAATCCTAGTTTTTTTTTTGTTAGAGAATATAATAATTAAAATAATTTCAAACAAATGAGATACATATGTATTAACTTTAAACCAAATTTATTTTGAGGGTTTGTATATGAACTTTGCAGAGTTTTTGTGCAAAAAAAAACTGTTATAAACTCACAGCAATTGGACATAAATGTGTTTAAACACATGCTTAAACTCATAAAGGGGCAACATTCGCTGCCGCGGCAGCGAGTATTTGTGGGTGTGACTAATCAGTGATGTTATAAACCCCGAACTATAAATAGCATTCAGTGTTAACCTGCAGAGAGAATGTAAACAAAAACAGCTGATTTTACATAGGAGAGGTTTAATGGATGTTTTATATAACTCAAACATTATCAAGTCATCTTGTCCAGATATTATTTTTGAAGTCAGTTGTTTTTCTTTTTTTTCACTGGAATGCTGTATGTTTCCTTCATCAAGTCAGACAATTATATCAAAATCAAAAGATGTGCCTTACATGGGGCATTTCTTTTAGGAACAACCTGCTAAAAATGTTCTTGACAGGAATTTAAAATATTTTTAAACTGTTATTGTATAAAAATTTTATGCATATCCATTAACATTTGTGAAATGTAATTTTTGACTACAAAATATAGTGTAAATGAAACATACCTGGAAGTTACTTTTACTGTTTTCATGAAGTTTAAACCATTCAAATACAAGTTAAATCAGTACTTTGAAATTTAAAAAAAAACCATAGATTAATGGATTATTGTAAATTTGTTGGATTTGATAAAGCGAGTGAGTAAAAGTTATTGTTTTATTCAGCATTCCAATGTGTCGTCTGCTGAAAATCTCCCTCCCTGAAATATACATCGTCTGCTACAAATCTCTCTCCCTGAAATAAACACTGCCACGTGCTTCTGTTTACTACTGAAGGTTCATGACCTGTAATGATCACATGGCTCCTCCCAGGGAAATTCAAATTTCAAAGCCAGTATTTTTTTCCAGAAATATACTTAACAAAGTTATATTTTGAATAATTTTGGTCAATCTTTATCAAAAATATCTATGCCTACAAACATGCCAAGTGTTGTTTTAATGCATTTGGTAATTAATCTTAAATCTTTGAAAAAGGGTCCCTGAAGTGAAGCATGCATAAAATTAATAAGAAACCTGCCCTAGCGCCATCTGCTGGCTTTTATAGTCCAGTTGGGCCTACCATTTAACATGAACATTCTCGTTACTATATCTAGGTTATTTTATCGTGTTTTCGTATGGCGCCCCGCCATGCAAAGATATGACAGATAAACGAAAAGGTGAAAACGTGATAGTTATGAAATGTCGCGTTTTCGCGCGGCGGGTTTTCGCCCAGACATGCAAAGATACGACAAATTGTCGATTTTGAAGACAGATCTATAGAATGTGACAATGTGTCGATCGTGCTTTCATTTGGCGGGGCGAAAGGTCGCCAGGCGAAAACACACATCAAAGTTGCATTTTTCCCCCCGTCACGCGAAAATGATATGTTCACGTTTTCGCAATTTTGCCCTGAAAACATGTTCATACGACATGGCATACATCATCCACCATAGATGGTAGAAAATGACAGTTCTTACACGTCAGCCGTTTCTATTTATAGTTTAAAATGTTAATTACAGTTTATCCAGTGCGATAAAAAGTTTCTTGGGTACATGCAGATAAAGTAAAGAGCAAAGCTACCAAAATAATTTTAATTAGTAAAAGATTTAAAAGATAGAAACATCAGCAAATGAGATTCTCAGTCAACTTGAAAGTATTTTTAAGACATTTTGTATGAATATTTTGTAAAAATCATATCTATGCTGTGTTCGTCTGCTATGAACAAATAACAGACGAATACGATTTGTAGCGTGATTTGTTTGTCTATTTCAAAGTTTTTTTTAGGGAATTATCAGAAAAAGTTTTCTTTTTAAATTTTATCTCTAAATGACTTCGTTTTTATTCTCTTTTTAATTTTAAGTAAATATGACAAATTTGTTTGGTTGCCTGCTTGCCGAGTGTTTTTTCTTGTATTTTCATGGATGTTTAGGTTAGACTTCTATTAGCACGGATTTGTAAATTAAATATAAATCCGTGCTATTAGTTATAATAATTTATGTCAATTATTTCTATTTCAGAACTAAAGGATGAACTTATTACATGGTAC